GAAAAACTGGTTAAGAGGCAGTAAGTACCATGCTTTTCTTCACATTCTTTCAGATGCTCTTAAAAGCTGGTCTACATTTCAGGAATTATGTAACTTTCTTGCCCTTGGAATGCATGCCATACTTCATCTGAATACCAGATGTACCTAACATTCAGGAATTAGTGCACCATTAACAAACCCCCAAATTACCAGCAGGCAACAAATTTAGCCGTGACACTCTTACACCATGAGTCTAACAAGAGCAGCTCAATGCAAAAGCTTAGTTGTAAGGGGACTTAATCAAAGTGAGAAGACGCAAGGGGCAGTAGTCATTTTAATACTCTTTGCAGACAGACAGGGTGTAACTCCTTATGGTTTAGGGAGGAGGAGTACTGCCTGATGGCTGACAAGCTTTGTACTGGTTTTCAAAAGAAAGGTGTCATGGGCAGTAATTCGGAGAGGCAGCCAGCAGGGGAGGAGGTAGATCCACAAGTGTGAATTCCTTTTCCCTTCAAAGCAGCCCTCACCGTTCATTTTTACCTGATTTCACCTGGAAGAAAAAGAAAGTTCCCAGTGGGCTCAGGATGTGAGGGAAAGACAATATGATCATGATTTGCTCTAGGATACGCACCCCTCCCATCCAACCCCAGACCTTGGCCAGAGCGAAATAGTTACGAATCAATCATCTGACTAAGGCTTATATAAAACCCAGGAGATGACGATCCCCAAACCATTTTTGATTTGGCTTTGGAACGCAGGCCGAACTGACAGACGTCGCTTACTTTCAGAACCTTACGCTGTGCGGACATGACTGGGAGAGGGTGACCGGGAGCTCGGCTTCTTGCTCCCGCCTCCCCGGCTGGAGATGACATCGTGGCTCGGCCACAGAACAGCCTATCTGTGGCTGCACCTACCTGAGAGCCTGCCTATATGCACTCAATTTCTAAAGAAAAGATGGAGGGACGTGGATGCATCGCTCCTGTTTGTCACAGGTCTTTTTGAAGGGAGAGGAAAATACCCATTCGTGACGAGCAACCTCTGATCAAACAGGAGGTGAGAAAAATCACATCATATGCTTAAAAATCAGTTCCGACTGCAGCTTTCCAGTATATTCAGACACCTTTCTCTCATGAGCCGTTTGAGAGTTTGCATTTGAACGTTACATTAATACTGTTTGGAAATCGCCGTTTGAAACTGAAACCCTGGCTTCTTACCAGAACATCATTGCAGATATCCTGCAGTTCGGCCTCTATCTTCTCCCGGTACTCTTTGCCCATCTGCTGCTTCTTCTCATTCCTCTCAGTTTTCTGCTCAATGCTGGAGATGACGCGCCAGGAAGAGCGGCGGGCGCCCACCACGTTCTTGTAGGCGACGGAGAGCAGATTTCTCTCCTCATTGGAGAGTTCGTGCCCCTGTTCCGTGACGGCCTTCATGGCTGCAGCCATGTCGTCATAGCGCTCGGCCTGCTCGGCAAGTTTGGCTTTCTGTACCAGCTCACTTTTATCCATGGTCGTTCCCTAGAACAGGAGCGAGAGAGAGAGAAGGGAGAGAAAGCAAGTGTCAGGCTTCAGGGCCCTGGAAATGCATGTGTGAACCTCCTTCCAACCCGTCTGGCAAGAATCATGTGTAAATATGAAACGTGTAGTTGCAAATGCCCTCCGCCATACTGAACATGAGCACTTACAGGGCTGAGTACCTTGCTAATTGTTTTGCCAATTAATTTTCCCAACAGTCTAAAGGGTAGATATGTTCACAACAATCCCTTCCCCCTCTTTCGAGGTGAAGAAATGGAGGTTCAGAGAAGGCAAGGGTTGTGCCCGTAACACTGCTAAGAGACCGCACACTCCAGTCTCTCTGTCCCCACGAGCCTGATCTGCGTCCCCAACACATGCAGGCTGCTGAAGAACTTATTTCTTTAGAAGCTTATGCTAAATACACTTCCTTAACTTCTTTCAGGAATTGTCTGGTTTTGGCCAAATCTGGTTTTCCCCCACAGTATTAGGAAAAACACCTTAAGTCTGAGGATTGCCTCAATCTTAAAGCAAAGACAGGACTTTAAATGTTACATCTGGCAGTGCCCATCAAGCAGGAGGAACCTGAAAAAATAGGAGCCATTTTTGTCTTATTTTCTGCAATTTGCTAACTTGGAGGACACACCGTAGACAAGAGCATAAACTAAAGGCAGGCAGATCTGGCTCTTTCTAGCACCAGCTCTGCCACTTGCAAGTGGAGTATGACCTTGGTCACATCACTTAACCTCTGAGAGCTTCAATTTCCTTACTGGAAAGTAAGAACATTACCTACTCTCTGTGGGGCTGCTGTGAGAACAAATGACCTAATCTACGTAAAGGTGCTTTGAGAAGTTTAGAGCATTATGTACAAATTATCAGGCACTAATTTTCTATATGGTATAGGCTGTAAGAGATAGGTGTATTCAAGACACAACTTCAAACCATAATTGAGTTCATTTAAAATTTTTTCTGAAGTAGACAAAAATTTTAGTGACTTCAGCTTACCAAATCCTCTATACACTGATCAGGAAATACCCCTCAAATTATTCACCTCACCTTAGTCAATTCCCCACTATAGTAATAACTATTTAGAGAGAATGCAGTAATTTTTGGATAATATGTAGCTAAAAATTTTTGTTAACCAATAAGTTTTATGCACTGTTAATTTAAATTTCGATGTCTCCATCTGTGCCACAGTGTAAAAATACACTACTCTCTTAAAGTATAATACGGTAAATACTACTTTAAATAGTAGCGGAAGTATCAGTATTTTTAGAACAAATTCTTACAGGGGCACCTAGCTGGTTCAGTCAGTAGCGCATGCAAGTCTTGATCTCGGGGTCATGAGTTTGAGCCCCATGTTGGGTGTAGAGATTACTTAAAAATAAAATCTTAAAAAAAACCCCAAATTCTTTCAATACAATATACACAGTATCACAATTTAAGACTGAAAACCCTAATGATGTAATGTATGGGGATTAACATAAGAATAAAAAAAAAAAAGTTAAAATTTCTGTTCATGTTTGTGCAGCAAAAAAAAAAAAAAAAAGACTGAAAACAATTAATAATTTTAAAATAGCAAAAGAAGGGGCGTCTGGGTGGCTCAGTTAAGTGGCTGCCTTCGGCTCAGGTCATGATCCCAGGGTCCCTGGGATCGAGCCCCGCGTCCGGCTCTCTGCTCAGCGGGGAGCCTGCTTCTCCCTCTACCTCTCTCTCTCTCTCATGAATAAATAAATAAAATCTTTAAAAAAATACAAAAATACTTTCACATAATAGTGACTTTAGCATCCCCCCCTAAACATGCAAATCCATGTAAACATACTCTCGGGCCCCAATAAAGTTAGTTCCACCTCAGTCTTAAAAGGTCGTTACCTGGGTTTTCTATTCTGTTCCATTGATCTGTGTGTCTATTTTTGTGCCAGTTCCATACTACTTTGATGACTACAGTTTGGGATTATTATTCAGCCATAAAAAAGAATGAAAGCTTGCCATTTCAAGGACATGGATGAAGCTAGAGAGTATGATGCTAAGCAAAATAGTCAGAAAAAGATAAATATCATATGATTTCACTCATGTGGAATTTAAGAAACAAAACAAATGAGCAAGGGGAAAAAAAAGAGGGAGGCAAACCAAGAAACAGACTCTTCACTATAGAGAACTGATGGTTAGCAGAGGGGACGAGGGTGAGGGATGGGTGAAATAGGTTCATTAACACAGTATAATATTAGTTTCAGGTGTACGATATGGTGATTCAACACTTTCATACAGTAGCCGGTGCTCATTACAACAAGTGCACTCCCCAATCCCCATCACCTATTTAACAAGAGTTCATTTTTTATAGGTAATATTCCACTGAGCGTGTGTGTATAAGTATATACATACACACACACACACACACACACACACACACAGCCCACATCTTCTTTATCCATCTGTCAACTGATGGACACTTGGGCTGATTCCATAATTTGGCTATTGTAGAGAATGTGGCTATAAACATCACGGTGTGTATGGAATTGTTTGGAATTGTATGGAATCACTATATTGTAGACCTGAAACTAATATAACACTGTAAAAAAAAAAATGCACGCTTACAGAAAATAAATAAAAGTCATTGCCAAAGTCTCTAAGACCTTGGCATCTATGGATCCCTGAAGCTTCAGCCACCTATTCAACTTGTCATTTTACAGTTGAGAAAACCAAAGCCTAGAGAGAGGGTGGGATTTGTCCAAGGACACGCAAGAGGTCACCTTTGAAACGGGCCGTTTGCACTTAAGAACAAAGCTTCGATGTCAGAAAGAGCGGGTTCTAATCCCAGTGATGCCTCTTACCAGCTACACCCCTGGAGCACTTGGTGAAAACGGCCGAGCCCACGCTGGTGGAACAGAGAGGAGAGCGTATGCAGCCCTTAGCACAGTGCCTGGCCCCTGCTAAGTGCTCAGGGAGACGTGGCTGCCATCAAAGTGGCACTGGGCCAGATCTCTCTAGCCAGAATCCACAATGAGCTGAGATCCCCCGTGTCCAACGGTCTCAATGGGGCAGGAGCCTGGGAAAGAGCTTTAAGTGGAAAGCCAAATAGGAAAACATTACTCCAGCTCTGTCACGACGTGACCTCGTTCCATTCACTTGTTCAGCCAATAGGTATCTGGTATCTACTGGCAGGTGCAACACCAGAGATTTAGCTGTGAAATGAGACCCAGGCTCTACCCTCAGTTCTATACATGGAGATCTGTGTTACTGATGGAGAGAGGCAGAAGGGGTACCTCGCCAGAAGCATGAGGTTAGAAGAGGCTTCTCGGAGGAGGGAAAGTATAAGGGGAAACCCACAGGGTAAGCGCTAAGTTGTCTAAAGCCACACTGTCCAATATGGTGGTCACTAGCCACGTGGAGCTACTGAGCACTGGAACTATGGCTAGTCTGAGTTCACGTGCTGGGAGTACCAGATTTCAAAGAATTAATACAAAAAAAGGGGAATGTAAAATATCTCAATTTTTTTTATTGAATATACACTGGAGTGATAATTTCAATATGTTAAGTTGAATGAGACATTATTAAAATCAGTTTGTTGGTTTGTTTTTTTTTTTTTTACCCTTTTTAATGTGGCTGCTGGAAAATAATGTGGCTCCCATTATATTTCTATTGGACAGCACTCATCTAAGGAGCAAGAGAAGGGAAACATTTTGAGAAACAGCATTTGCAAAGACCTGGGAGCTAGGAATCACATAGCACTTCCCCTCCCCAGCCTCAGTCCCACCATCAATTCAAGAAAAGGGCCGTGGCTATCTCAAAGGCCCTTCCACCTCCCATGTGGGCAAGAATCTATGAAAAGCAGTCGGCCTTAGGGTTTGGAAGCACCCAAAGGAGGCTACAACCTTCTGCCTTTGCCACAGGCAGGAAGGGCCCTGACTGGTGTGGGCCCAGGCTGGGGAGGGACTTTCTTCTCCTCCGTGGCAGCTGGAGCCCCCTGAGCCTGATCTCTTTTCTTCCTAGTGCTGGCTTGGTGCCTCCTCCATGAAACAGAGCCATGGGGAGGCTCCTACCTTCTGGGCTTCCTCATGCTTCTCAAAGTTGACAAAGCCGAAGCCTCGGGAGTGGCCACTGTCGTCCCTCATCACCTTCACACTCAGCATCTTCCCTGGGAAGGGCCAACCTGGCTCAAAGGGGAGTTTGGGAAGCCCCAGGGTGTTCCCCTCCCTTCCCCCCCCCAACCCGCCCCCACCCTCTGGGGGCTTGAGACTACTTAGTGCTGCCCCCTGCTGACTCATCAGGAAGCCCCCAGAAAGGCTGCCCCTCCTCCTAGCCCAACCTGGGGATAGAGGACAAAGTGATCCCTGATTCCCTTGGGGAACACACCCACCAAACTGGGAGAAGAGGTCCTGCAGGCCCTGCTCATCCACGTCCACATGGAGGTTCTTCACATAAATGTTGGTAAACTCCATGGCCCGAGCTCCCAGCTCTGCTTCCCGCTCTCGTCGGGACTTGAAGTGGCCGACGAAGCTGTGGACACACTGACGGGGTAGGCAGCCGCCAGTCCTCCGCCACCCCCATCCCACCCGGCAACCCTGGGTCACTGGCATCAATTGTTGCCAGCCCCCAAGGCCCCTGTATCCCGAATCGGGAGGCTGGGCAGGGCAATACTCTTTAGATGGACTACAGTCAAGGCCGGACCACTTCCAACAGCCAAGATTCTATGTTCTAGCATAAGGTTAGGAAGAGTTCGTTCTTGGGGCAAAGGCACAGGGAACTCCTACCATACACCAGGCAGCTGAGTGTGCAGGAGAGAAGAGCAAGCATGAACTTGAGAGTCATACAGATGAGGGCCTGAATCCTCACGCTGCAGTTGCCTAGCGGTGTGACCCTGCGCAAGTTACTTAACCTCTCTGAGCCTCAGCGTTCATTCCTATAAAACGGGA